AAAAAAAAAAAAAAAAAAAAAAAAAAATCTTATTTCTGTAAACTTCAACGAGGTTGTTGGACCATCATCCTCAGAATCAGATGCCGGAGGAGACGGCGACGAACTTGAATAATTTTTCTGCGACATTTCGAAAACGACAGACTAATTTCGGTAAACTGTAAAAGAAGAAATTAATTATTTAAAAAACTGAAATTTTGAATTTTGGGGAAAATGAAAAAATAAACTATTTACAAATCTGAAATTTTGAATATGGGCGGGAAAATGGAAAAAAATAAAACAATCTAGAATTTGAATAAGCTTAAAAGAAAAGAAAAGACATGTTTGTTCTGTAAAGGACACGCCCGACAATTGGTACTCAGACATGCCTATTTTAAGAAACCTGCTTTTAAATTTTTAAAGAGAGAGAAAGACAAATTCATTTTGAATGTTTTGCATTCCAGCATTTTCAATGTACATCACAAAATTTTGAATTTACACAATCATTCATAATGACAACTAATGGAACAACGAAAAGATATGTTCCTTACAGGACACAGTCTACAATATTTACTTGTCTGTGCCTTTTTCAGAGATCAATCACTAATGTTTGTAATGTCTGTTTTACAGCAGGCACTTTTCAAAATTTTTATTCAAATGTTCAATTTAAAAATTAGAAACAGTTTAACTACACTTCCACTTTAGAGGGAAAAAATCCTTGTCATCAGAGAGAAAATAGTGTTAAAATATTTGACAGAACTGTGAAAGAGATTTGAAAGAGAAGCACAGAAAGACCGACTTCTTCAATGCAAATGAGCGACAGAAATACTCGAGCAGCTGCTCGAATGAAAATTGCAGCGCGTTAAAAGTTAGTTAAAATATTCCTTTAAAGCAGAGGGTATAACGAGAAATTGCGAATTAAGTCATGGTTTAAACTTCACTTAATTCTAATCATTTTCAGCAGGAAAATTTGAATCAGCACGGATTTTTTAAGTGTTCAGGTAGCTCTAAAAATTTCTGAAATTGTGGCAACAAAAAACTCTCTGCAAACCTTCATGGTATTAATGTAATTTCTTGCATGATCAAACATATTTTCCAAAAATAACAGACTCCTCTTCAAGACACCAACTTAGAGACTGAATCATAGTAGACAAGTATTTATAACCAATAACTTACAAATTTTCCTCGCATATTTTTGCTGCTAGCGAGTTGTATGTCAAATGCTTCAAACTCCTTTGGAGTTTTGAAAGGACAGTTGGAAAGGAGAAATTCATCTTCCGATTGAGAGCTATTCCCATCTTGTTTCTCTCTGTTGCTAGTCTGCTTAGATTTTCCATCGGCATTGGCATTGGCATTGGCGAGTGCTTCGTTAATGTTCTTAAGCTGCACGTGATGTAGTGAAAGGATGGTTAATATTTGAGAGAGTTTCTCTGTAAAAAATAAAAAAATGAAAATCAATACATGATGGAGCTATTGAGGAGTAATAGGTTTTTGCTGAAATACAAATTTATACATGAAAATGTTACAGGCTGCACACAAATTTCTCTGAGCAGTAGGTCGATGGTGGCTTATTTTTGGATAAACTAGAGCTGAATCATGGTGAGAAGAAAGTGTCTTAATTTTGATTTGACATTTTTGACGCTACAAACATTTTTTTAAAAATGAATCAGACAGCAGATAATGCAACCACACAAAGAAAAAAAACCTCTTTGCTGAAACTTAGCCTTTCTCTTTTAACTTCGTTGTCCAAGGCAGAAAACAAATCTGAGGAAAAAAAATTGAATCTTCATTGTTTAAAGCCTTCCCATTTTTGGCTGGCTAAGATATAGAGGAAAAAAAGGAATTATTTTTAATGTCAGACTGTTGAATTCAGAAACTTACTTTCCGTAGAGTCATTCTCTCTCATGACAGGGAAGTCATTATTAACAGATTGACCATCAGGCTGGGAAGAAGGATGAGAAGTAGGCTGTTGCGTTGCATTTGAGCTCGTCTGAGAACCAGGTGTGGAAGAAAGATGAGAAGTAGGCTGTTGCGTTGCATTTGAGCTCGTCTGAGAACCAGGTGTGGAAGAAAGATGAGAAGTAGGTTGTTGCGTTCCAGGTGAGCTCGTCTGAGAACCAGGTGTAATAATAGATTGATGTGGGTTTGATGTTCCAGGGTTGCTGTCCAACTTTTGTCCATTGCCACCATCGTCCATTTCATCGTCACCATCTTCATCATGGGTTAATTTTACTACCTTAGAATTTTGTCGTGGAAATACAGGAAGAGTATGACGATTTTTATTGGGTTTTACTTTAGGAGGTGATTCAACCTCACTTTCTGATTGAAGGTATTCATCTTTTGCAACACTGAAATCAGGAATGTTATCTTTGATCACACGCAAAACTTTGTGCGTCAGCCAACCTTCTTTGGGTACGGCGCAGTTTTCTGTCAGAGAATTTAACGTTGACTTTCGGGAACTGACAAGAAGTTTTGTCTTTTGCAAACCAGTTAAATGGAACGATTCCAATGGATTTTTCGAACTGTACAATACTCCATGATCTGAAACAGGGTGGAGAAAAAAGTAAACTAAGTAACGAAGATAAAAAATTTCAGTTCTTTTCTATTTGATAAGTTCTCATTGTTTTCTTCATCTTGGTTTCTAGCAAACTCCTCTTCAAACTTTTTGAACGTTTGACCTAATAAATTGTAGGTTGAAAGAATTTTGAATGAAACTAACAGACTTTTCCGAAAAAAAAACGGTGTAGTAGCGTTAAAAAAGTCCCATTTCCCCCCCTCCCCTTTTTTTCCCCTCAAACATGATGAAGGAAAAGAGGGAAAGAAAATAAGAGCGGAAAAAAAGGATTTTTGAGGGAACATTCGCGTGATTTTTCTTGAAACTGAATATACCTAATACTTTTTTTTTTTTTTTATGGATAGGGTAAAATTTGGTATACGCCTCCACTGCTAATAGTGTTGATTTTGACATTCAAGAATAAAATAGAGAAGCATTATGATCAAGAATTTTTACTCACTTTTGAGGAGGCACAGAACCGGTAGCCTCTGGACCAAAAGCCATGACTAGTTGAACCTGAAACATGATGCAAAACTGTCAGTTTCTGAAACCGTATAGCAGGATACAGATCAGTCAAACTTCGAACACAGATAATTCCATTTTTCCTCTTTGTTATGTAAGTTATTTCAGCAATTCTTCGAACATGAAATGATAAAGAAAACAGCTATACTTATTATTTTTTTTCTTTTCCAAGAATTTCAGTTGATGTTTAATTTTGATTGTCTACGGTTTTTTAATGTTTTAAAATCAAGCACAAGACAAGCCTCCAACTTTTTTCTCCGCTAAAAAATAATGGCTCCGCAAGCAAGCTGTAAAACTCTGCTTCAAATACTTAGTCAAAAATCGGGATGACTTTGGAAGGATGATACTGGAAGGAGTTAGTTCTTTGTCTTTAGGACTCTTGAGTGTACTTGATAGCTGTAGAACCAAAAAAAATTACCTTTTGAACTACTGCTGAAAGCACGAGTCCAAAATAGGCACCACAACCATGGCGTCTTTTAGTGGCATCAGATAGTTCTTTGCAGTGATCATATCAACCGGCCATGATTTGAGGGATTTTGACAGTTTTGAAACTTTGTAAATGCCAAACTTGGAGCTTTCAGATGGATCCGTGAAGAAGTCAGATTTTTCTGTGAAGTGATGGCCTACAATGACCATTTGTTTAGATCTACGATCAAAACCAATATTTTTGATACGAACTACATCATTGTTGCACATTGTACAACAATTATCTGCGTCATTTGTGGACAATTCGATGAATTTGAACTTGAGAGAGCGGAATTGAGGACTTGTGACACCTTCAATCAAAGGACCCTCTGTATGAGAATTAAAATATTCGACCTCTTGAAAATACTGTCGCTTTTTAACCTGCGCATGCAACAGATCATTGTCAAAAAGTTCATTCATTCTCCGTGCCAGCTGTGGCAATACATCAGAAGTCTTTCGCACTAAACGTTTCAGATACTACATAAAATTTTCGAAAGGAAATGCACTTACTTCTTCCAAGTTACCAAATTCTTTCAAATCATCACATATATGGATAAGTCCATGGAAATTGTGAGTAATATAGTCATCACCGTATTCATCTCGTATAGTTTGAATAAAATACAGAAATAATCCTCGAGCAAATTCAATTAGTTCCGGATTTTCTTTAGACTTCGGGTCAAGTATAATTCGAGTGCCCATGCTTAGATATAAAAAACTCTTATACTTCTTCTCACTAACTTGCTTCATGAATACGACCATGCCAGTAAACAGAAGTAGTTGTCTCCATTCTGTTCCTTTGAAGAAACAGACTTCTTCAGTGGCTCGTGGCTTTCGAGCAAATTCTTTGGGAGTGAAGAACTTCATATTTTGCATTCTAGCACTAATTTTAGCACGTTGAGCACGGCCTATTTTGTGAGGGAGCTTACCAACTAGCCACGAGTAGACAATTGTTCGAAATACTCCTAGAAGGATGAGATGCAAGTAGTCCAGACACACTTTGATAGGGATAATTAGAGTTGAAATATCAATTAGTGGTGTAGTATGTTTATGATATTCTTTGGCAGACTGTTTCAAGAATTCTTCATGGGTTCTTGGACGTTTATCCTCATCTGGGTAATAGGTTCGCTTACTTGTTTTGGACCACTCTCCTTCGACGTGACATCGAGTGCACGAACGTTTGCCGTTGAATGAAATTATACCTAGCGCAAGAGCTTTTGCTGGAGCATCACAAATAAGTGCATCTACGCTAACTGAGAAAAATTGACCGTTGACAGTGAGTCCATTCATAATTAAGCTTTCTGCTTCTACCGCAAAATATTTCAGAAATGTAGGGAATTTTGGTTTGGATTTGGAATAGAAGAAGCCTACTGGAAACACGATGTGGCTGACAGCTGACACTATCTATGTTGGCGATGCGGCAAAGAATTGGCCAAAGCTCACTCCCTTTGCTTTTGAAAATCCCAATTCCATCTATATTAAGGTAAAGCTTTATATGACCACCTTTCAAAACCTTCTTCAGTATAGCCAGCAAATTTCTGAGAATTCCAAAATGAAAATACTGTCCACCATCCGTAATATCTACGACCTGAACCTTGCCTCGGCGAGTCTTGATTAAAGTAGGTGTAGTCGCTGGCAGATTTTTTAGTTCTGGAATGTTCTTCAAGTCTGTCAGCAAGGCTGTGACTTGACAGTGGGGAATAAACTGCGTCAGGGTCCAAACCCTCAACACTGATCCCACTTTCTCCGCTAAAGTATTTTTGATGCTTGACTCTTCATCACCACTGCTATCGTCATCATCAAAATCTGCTAAATATTTGCTCGAATTTCGATTAAGATCATTCTCAGGGTTAGACGAAGTAGTATCTCCTAAAACCTCGCTTGTGAATAAACATGCAGGATCGAATTCTTCATCCAGATTACACTGTATATCCACAGCATCAATTAATGACAGAATGTCAACATCAAAGTCATCACATGTATCCAGAAATGAAAGCAAGTCTGGGAACGGCATTGCAGCGATATCGTGTAGTGGCACACCATGAGCTGCAGCATCGGTGCTTAAATTTGTTTCAGTTGTCTCACACGCTGATGCTGTTTCGCAAGCTACAGTTTCCTCATGAGGAATGTGTACAGATTCATGCTCTTCGACATTACTGCAATTCGGTTCAGATGATAAGGGGGCAGAGACAGTATCTATAATAGGCAACTGAGAATAGTTGTTCATTGGATCAATTTCATTACCTTCAGCACAAAGCAAATCTGGAAAAGTGGTGGATTCCTCAGGCAATGGGAAGTCATTTGGAGGCACAGTATTACTTCCTGATGTGTCTGCATTGAAATTAAGCCTTCGTTTCTTATAAATATAATGCCGAGAACAATCATCGACCCCCTTGGTTTTCCTCGGATTCGTAACATTTAGTGCACAGGGAGGGGTTACTTCAACAGTTCCACGTAAGTTAGCTTTGCAAGGAGATTCATCAGAATTTGGGGAACTGTCTTGCATGGTAAAATAAATGAGAAAAACAAGTACCACGAAATGAGACACTGACATCATGACTTGTTGCTTTCCTGCATGAACCGCATGGCACGGCTCACGGTCCAAGTTCACGGAGCCGCTTAAAGCAACTCACTGCACGCTGCACAACATGAAAGAAGTTGAGCGCATGGACGTAAGGTGGAAAAAACTATTACATGCAAGATCAGAGATCAAATAGATGATGAGAGAAAAGTAACTTACGTACGCAGGCTTAAGAAGTGGAGCTAAACGATTTTTCCAGAACTTGAGAGAACAATGGAAAGCAGAGATACCAGGGGTGCCAGAGATAGGACCTGAGAAAGTACACAGAGGTGGGATCCAAAAGTACAAAATGATCCGACATTTAAGGGCAAATAGGTGTAAAATAATCTGCAGGTAAAAAATTGCACAATAAATTAAAAAATTTCGTTGATTATACACAGAGGTATGGCTAAAATTAGAATAAAAAATTCACCATTAGAGGAAGCGGGGTAAAAAAGGGATTTTTGCGGGTATTTTAAGTATGACGTATTAAGCACCTTCAGTTCGGCGGGAAATTTTAAATATGGTCCATAAGTTCCTTCTCTTCACGCTAACTTTTTACCTGATTGAGGTAACAATTTGAAACTTGCAGGATGTTCCTCGGTCAAAGGGAGCTCCTCTGCCCCCTAAAATTTTTAGAGGATCCCTTGGGGGGGAGGGGGGTGGCACGCACCCCAACTTTTTTTTTAAATGGAAAGACTCCCCTTGTGATACCAGTGGCGGATCCACAGTGAGTCGCAGGGGAGCCATTTGTTGATGTCGAGTTGGGGGGGGGGGGGG